TTGTTGGAGAATCGATCCTTCAAGAAAAGCTCAAATTTCCGAATTATTCACAAAAACAAAAAGAAAATAGAAAGACGTTTCCTGCCCGAATGGTGGCAAAAGGGTAAATTAAGATTAGCCAATAAATTAGTAATTTCTAATCATAAACTGCCCATCCAATTTTGTCGGATTTAAAATAGTAATCAGATCAGACGAGACTCTCTCCAGCTTTCCCTCTGAGAAACTTTACACTTCTGATTTGTATCGGATTTAGACGTGCCATAACTTTTCCTCCAGCTTTTTGTTGTCTTCTCATTTTGCACATGAACTATATATGTATGAAGAATATTTGGTTTCAAAGATATCGAGATTACGCCAGAAACAAAAACAGATATCGAGACTATAATGTTATGTGAAAAGACTTTCTTGGAACGTTATAAGTCATTACATAACCCGAGATAGTGAATATTGTCGCAGGTTAAGACAAAAAAAGAAAAACACAGAGAGCATAAACAAAAAGAAAAAAGGCATTTAGGGAGAAGCTAACTACTACTTAAATGTATTTATGTCTTTGTCTTAGCATCTGCATTACCCATTGTAGCCGCGGTTACCGGTTTAATCACCATCCACCGCCACCGCTCTTTCGACTGCTTGATTCAGTCCCCCATCCACCATCTCCATCACTCATTTTACCACTAGCCTCGTTTCCCCAACCGCCATCTGCACTGCTCTTTTTACCACCGGAATCGTTTCCCATACCACCATCCTCGCTGCCCTTTTTACCACCAGAATCGTTTCCCCAACCGCCTGCTCCACCGCTCTTTTTAGCACCCATCTCGCTTCCCCAACCACCACTGCCAGACTCACTACCCCAACCACCTGCACCGCCACTCTTTTTATCACCAGACTCACTTCCCCAACCACCACCACTACTTCCCCAACCTCCATCTCCAGTTCCAGTATCGTTATTACCCCAATCTCCAGTCCCATCTTGTCTATCACTATCCCTCCGTCCTCTGCCTCGACCACGACCACCATGCGGCCTTGGCGGATGCCCATCACGTCCACCACCATTTCTGTACTCACCGCCCCTCCCTACAAATACATTTTCACAATTTCTTAGAGTATACGTGCAGGATAATAGTCTCAATAACAGAATTAATAGTAACATACAAATGCTTCTCTCCATCCAAAATCCAGATTGCCGGAATTTGAGTTATAACAAAAGCAAGAGAAGTCGAATAAACAACCAGAAAAGCCCTTCTTTGCAAGTTAAAAACCAATTTTGAAAATTGTTACCTGCTCTTGGTGCAGATGAGCGATCTGAGTTACCTCTCCAGCCTCCTTCGCTCTGTGCTGGGCTTCTCATCGGTACCATGGCAGCAACAGACCTGATCGATGGCACTGTTTCATGCAATGGGTCATCGATATGCCTCTGGAAGTATGCCACAAGCCTGTCGATGTCCTCAAACATCCTTTTCCTGAACTTGAATCCCTTGGGGTATAGACCTATATATTCATGATGTGGATTTGTGCTCCTTATGTAAGACAGTATAAAGGTCCCTGGATGTTCGTGTGAAATCCCAAAACAGTAAACTATCCTTGTAGGATTTTCACCCTTCTCAATCCTAAGAAGCTCATCAACTTCTAATTTTGTCCCCTTCCTAAACTTCCGATAGTTAAGCATGGTCTTGAGATGAGAGACCAGAGGATCAACATACCGATCCATGACCTGCAGTTATGAGATAAGTGTGGTCAACATTTTCTAAAGATGCACCAAATTAGTTCCAAAGAAACTTGCAAAAGGAATTTAAAAAGGTTAAGGATGTTCAAGATTCAGGTAAATGTGTCCTTCGATAGTGCAATTGGATTAAATAAAATGATGTACCTCATCTAGATCCTCGAAGGTGTCCTCCCCAATTTTCAGGGTCTTCCCTATACACTGTAAACTAGTGATGTCCTTGTTTTCTTTCCCACCTTCAACTATCTCCTTGTGAGCATAGACTCCATCGTAAATCTTAAGCGTCAAGGTCAAATAATTGAGTCCTCTGGAACTTGGACGAACAATGCTTTCTCCAAAATCTTTGTCAGACAAATACTGACAAACCATAGCACAAACAAGGAAGCTCAGAGATCTCTTTAGAAAATATAACAAATGCATTCCAAGACGAGATACAAAACTTCTTTTACCATCATCACGAACTAATAATCCAACAAAAGCTACACCTTTCACAACAACTGTCCTACTGCTGACTGATCATTTTGAGAAATGAAAACAACAGCAGAAAACAAGACTGCTAATGTTATCATCCTATCAACTTATCAAATATCAAACAGACAGTAAAATGGCATACCTCTGTTGCTTGGTCAGTAGTAATATTCTGAAAGCGGGGATGGACAATCATCCGAGACTTAAAATGCTTCCTCACCAGCTCCTTTTCTTTTCGTGCCTTTTCTTTTTCGGCCTGGAGACTATTTCTATCCTCAAAGTAATAAGGATCCTCATTCTGCTTATGCTGGTGCCTGTTGTTTCTCATTTCGCTTTCTTTGCAAATAAGGAACACTTGATACCTCTCCTTTTGAATCGATTTGATCTTGCATGTAAGGATATCACCTTCATTCAACCGTTCTGACAACTCAACAATATCTCTCCCATCATCTGCGAAATCTTCCTTCGTAAGCATCCCAGTTAACCCAGAATCTAATACACATATGGCTCTTCCACTCTGCAATCTTCGAACACTGGCCTGGACAATTCTCCCCTCACATAAGGTTTCTTCAGTTTCACCAGAAATCATATAGAATTCTTCATCTGGACTTGGATCTTTAAATGGTATCCGCCAATCCTGGAAACCACAGCTTAATTCTCTCAAAATATTACTATAAGTTTCCTTCTTATTCTCTCGTTTCTTGCTAGCAAGATACTCATCAAGGACAACTTTTCTCAAAGAGGCTGGCCGATCTCTCACATGCTCTATTGCCATCTCTGTCGCATCCTCATCATCATTGGAATCACCTCTGACATCCTGATCATAAATATCTTTCGCCAATTCTTGAGCAAGACCATATGATTCGGGATGTATTCTGGTGTCATCCAATAAGTCGATGAATTGACTGCTACTAGCAGCCAACCCACTCCTCCGGATGCGCAAGAAACCAGCTGCATTTACAAAAACTTTTTTACCAAGCCCATGCATTATCAGGTCCTTGCGGACAAATATTGAACCAGCTCTAAGAAGCGACCTCTGCAAGGATGCAGCTTTCCTAGGCCCAAGTCCAGAAATGAACTGTAATGGAGAAAAAAACCACTCATGGCCCGCTGCCAAATTAACGTCAATTCCAACCTGGTTTGTTATGTCAACCATAACCTGTTCAACCATCCCATACTTCTCGTCAAGCTGAAGAAAATTCTCCAAGGGATGAAGCTTCCAAGACAAAATTTCCCTGCCTGGACCGCATAAAGTTGCAACCATTGCTAGTGGATTCTGGAGATAACGTCCAAGAGCAACAGCACGTTTCACAATCCCTGACTGTTGAGGTAGCTGCTCACCCGAGATTCGAGAATTTTCATATAGCCTAGGAAGCGATTCGTCCACATAAACAATACTTAGATCATCCATCCCATGTCCAACATCTCTAGGTTTTTCCTCAACCATCTGGAATATGACCTGGTATAAGAAAAAAAAATGACCAAGATTTACTATGCAAACGAATCAGCTAAGAAAAATGGAGCACCACCAGAAAATTTGGACAAAGTGAGCTGCATAAGCAGAAACTCAGGCTTATTTGATCGGATATAACATCATCATTATCTGGAAGGCAACCAAAACTGAAATAGGTGTAAGGAGTTCGACAGTACTGATGATAAACACACAAATCCAGGCAACTACAGAGTAGCTACTAAGGAACTAACTAGGTATACCACTGATACAGTTTTCCAGGACCTTGTCAACATAACTCATCTATATTAAGATCAAACTCAGAACTTGTATGTTGCATTAGCATGAATTAATGAACATAGTTTATGGTACATGAATCCTTACCTCATATATATCATCCTTCAGACGAGTACAAGACAAATTGACAGCTCCTAACGCCACAACATGCGGTTGGTGGTCCATCATAAACTTTAAAACACGGTCCTGGTCACTCTTTTTACGTTGCTGGTCGTTGACATTTTGAGATCGCAGTGTGAGGGATCCAGCATAAAGTACATCAAGCACCTCTCCCGATGAATCCAACATCACAAATGTATTTGGTGGCTTTCCAGGTCCCCAACAACATGCCATGACCCTAGGTGCAGCTTCCTCATCTGAGCTAATGTCCATTTCTTTCTTTTGATATGGCCCTGCCGACACCTTGTTCCACAAAGCCTGTCCATACTCTGAAAGCAAACGGCTCTTTGCTCTGCTAGTTAGCAAGGATCTTGCTTCTTTCTCCATTGATGGCAAAAGGAAAGCATGAAGTGCATCCTCCAGAATCAATTTTCTTTGCTCATTCCAGAGTTGAGCATACTTACTAACACCAATACTTAGATAGTGTTCATTGCAGTCGCTAATTAGCTTATTCATGTGATTCTCAGGCAGCTTGAAGGTTACTTGAAGAAGCTTCTCCTCTTCTGCCTTCTGGATGAGAAGCCACTGCGCACCCTCAAACTTGCTCAATGGCTTTTCACGTAACCACTTAACCCCAGAAAACTGATGGAAAGAATCTATTACTGTATTCCCATCTGCTGTTGGCTTTGTTGAGACTACAGCATTCTCCATATAAATACCACGAACATACTTTTTGACTGATGGCTCGCAACTTATCTCAACTGCAGCCTAGCAAAGAAAAATCAGAAGTATATCAGCATTGATGACAGGAGAATTTCTTTTGATATTAAATCCAGCTAAAGATTTCATAATAATATTT